TCTTGGTTCATTGTAGGCCAGAAATAACCTAGCAAGATGATCCTTTGTGCGAGTGTCCTGGACATTTGGTGGGCTGCACAGACACCCTCATGAACTTCGGCGATCACTCTTTCCGCCTCCGCCCTGGTCAAGCATCTCAGCAGCGGACCGCCCAATGCCCTTTTGTATAGCCTTCCATCAAGCATTTGGAATCTTGGAGCCCTCAACTTTACTTTTCTTACCCTATCCTCATCCTCAGGGAATTGCCCGGTCATGTAATACTTGACCAAGTCATCCAGCCAAATATCATCAGGTTCCACCAGGGTTAGATTGGGCTGTCCATCCTCCTCTATCAGGCTCACAGAAAGCCTTTCAATGTTAGCCTTTTCCAGCGTCTCAATCCTGGCCAACTTGGACACATGCTCCGGGGCTGCTTGCGTCAATTTTGATAGCAAGTCAGCATCCGTGTTTTCCCCCCTTGGGATTTGCTCCATCACATACTCAGTCAGATCCTTCAATAATGTCCTTGCCAAGTCTCTGTACTTCTGCATCTTCTCTCCTTTGGCCTCCATGTTGCCATTGATGTGGCCTACCACCAAGCTTGAATCAGACTTGATCCTGAGGCATGTGATTTGTAGGGTTTTGGCCAATCTCAGGCCCCCTATCAATGCCTCATACTCCGTCTCATTATTTGTGAGTTCGAAGTTAAAGATCAAGGCATGATATACCTTGAACCCTTCCGGAGTTGTGAATACCACACCTCCACCGTAACCTTTCGGTCCAGCGGCTCCATCTACTGACATGGACCACCAAGGCTCTGTGATCGTCCTTGCTGGTTCCTCCTCCTGGTGACCCGTCATCTCCACAAGAAAGTCAGCCACAGCCTGTCCCTTTATCGCCGTCCTCGGACGATATTCAATGTTGAATTGGGTAAGCATCATGGCCCATTTGATCATCCTTCCCGATGAAGTGGAGTCTCTCATGACTGTGCCCAATGGTAGGTCGGTCAATACGACAATGGGATGGGCTTGGA